GAAACGCCCCTGCCCCCCGATGTGTACCGTGACGGTCACTCTCCTCCCAGATCCTCACCGGCCTCCAAGTGTCCGGCCGTAGATGCCCGTCTTATTAACGCCATGAAAGGACCGTCTTCGCCCATTACGTCACCCATTACAACCAGCGCTTCCTGACGCTGTGAAGACCGTCTCTCGTAGCACGACAGGCTTCGGGTCTGTACCCATGCGACTGCATTTGAATATAAGGGAAACGAGCAAAGTCCCCGTACTTAGGAGTAATCGTCCTTGACACGGCGACTGCCGAGGTCGTGGCTGCGGCGCGAGCGGGTGCTGTGACGGCGGCGTCCCCAGCGGCGTCCACCGCCAAGGCCACCGGAGGATGCCGTCTTGTCACCGCGTAGGCCAAAGCAGAAGGCGATGGTGGCGAGGAAGAGAGCGGCCCAGGCGCCCCAGGAGAAACCAAACGCGTAAGTGCCGATGTTGGCAGAACGGTCGGCGGAGCGGAACTCATCGCGGGCCTTGACGAAGGTGGCACTTGATACGTGTTAGCATTGGGCTATCGTGTGACGAGGGCAACACGGGAACGGCCACGCGTGCGGGAGGCGAGGAAGACTCACGTCATGAGGGAGACGGCAATGGTGTAGAAGAAGAGAGCGGCGGCGGAGACGAGGCCAGCAATAGCAGAGCCGAGGCGGCCGCAGCAGGCGAGGAAGGAGGAGAACCAGGCGCAGACGATGAAGAAGAGGGCGATGAGATAGAAGACCCAGCCGAAGCGCCACATGTAGAAGTAGAAGCGGCTCGTGGTGTCGCCGGCATGGCCACCGATGAGGCCTTCGGGTACGTTGGCGGCGTTCCCGTCCCAGGCACGGCCAAAGGCGGGCGCCGGACGGGGGTTCGAGCAGTCGCGGTTGTTGTCACCGCAGAAGTAGAAGTAGGTCCAGCGGGTGACGTCGCGGGCGCCGGAGATGCCCGAGGTGTCGGCCTCGAGGAAGTACGTCTTGTTGAGGGGCGACGTGTTGGCGACACCCGAGAGGATGACGAAGAAGATGAGGACCAGCGATCCCGAGAGGAGGATGAGGCCGGCGGTGCCAGCAGCGGGCTTTGGGCTAACCATGGCGACGGGTCTGTCTGCAGCAACTCGAGAATGCGGATGTTGTCGAGAGCTCAGGAGGGGGGATCTGCCGAGGGGTCTGGGTCAATAAATTGTCTCTCGCAAACCAAAGTATCGAGTGCGAGTCGGTGGCAGGAAGTGCAGGAGAGCAAGAGGGAAAAGGGAGACTGAAGAAGGAGGGAGAAGAGGGAGGGACGCGATACCAAGACAAGGTTGGGGGGACGCCGGTTCACTCACTGTGCTCTCTCGCCTGTTCAACGACACACGAGGCCTGAGATGGCGATGCGCGACACTGTTTCAGTGGATGGGCGTATTAGAAAGTAGGTAGGCGACGCTGGGAGAGGGAGAGGACCATGTCAGCAAAAGCAAGGTCTTGATGGAGCTTGCATCTCCCTGCCGTCTGCAGGCGCGAACGGGTGTAAAGCAACGCGCAGGAACAGAGTGGCAACAGTTCGTAGACGCTGGGTGCACTCTTGGGGATAGTGCTCACATTCATTAGTATGGTGTCGGGTAAGGTAGGTAGGGGCAAGGTATTAGTAGCAGGGTGGTCGTCGCGATGGTGGTGATGCCGATGCAAAATGGCAAAGGAGGAGGAGATTGGCTCGAGAGCAGAATGGGGAGCAGGAGCTGTCTAAAAGAGGGAAAAGGATGCGGAGGATTTGGGGAGGGGGAAATAATTAAAGAGGCGATGCAAAAGGGACGATCAACCGGGATGACGAAGGACGATGGGGGGGACCACTCCAAGCTCAAAGCAAAGCCGGGACGCAAAAGCTCGAAGCGATCAGATGTCGGGATGTGGATGGGTGGGACGTGTCGACGAGGCCAAAGGCAGTGAAGGGCGAGAGAGCCGGAGTTGGCGAGACGAGCTTGCCTAGCAAGGTGCTGGGCACCTACCTCTGGGTCCCCACCAGGTAAGGTCGGCAGGCGTAGGCACCTTTGGGTAGGTACCTTAGGTAGGTATCTAGGTAGACCAACACGCTGCATGACGACACCTCCACCAGACCACTGCCGCAGCCCCACATGAGCACCTGCGCCGGCCAATGCGACGCTGGCACCGGAGGCTGCTAACAAACTAGCGCCGCTGCTGGGACGAACAAACAAGCTGGAGGGCCCCAGTCTTCTGCCAGTTCGAACTGCCTTAGCGGCCAGGGCAGCGCTGAGCCACCTGGAGACGCCTGTGCGGAGGGTCCACGGCGACGTCATGCCCAGGCGTCACCAAGACAACACAACACGCTCCGTCCTGTGTGCTCGATGTTCGGTGCTGCGCTCCCAGTTCCTCATGGGAGCTGGAAGCTGGGAGCTGAGAGCTGAGGCTAGCATCGTGTACTGCCATGGCCACACATGTACGCAAGCACCACGAGAAGAGCAGCAGCAGCACAGCCTGAAGAGACACCCGCCGCGACAGGGACGGTGGAATCAATACATGCACACACACACACACACGTCTCGGTGAAACGAAACACGGAGCAGACGAGGCCGCGTGGAAGGACCATCCCCTCACATGCAGGGTCTGGCCTCGTACGCCTGTCCCGCACTGCCAACGCTGGGACGAACCTCGCGAATGCCTGACTGTCGGCCATTTGCATTGCGCGTTTCTCCTCTGCACAGCCTCGATGGTGCAGGGCGAGTCGGCACGATAGACAAACGTCGTACGCGTAGGAGACGACAAGACGATGAATCGTCAACGTCGTTGGCGCCCTCTCTGGTGGATGTCGTCGCTGGCCTACGACGAAAAAGAGCGCCCAAATCCGTTCAGGCAGACACACTATTCTCTTGGCCGGCTAGGTGTCTGTCTACCTTACCCTGGAGAAACCAGAATGACAAAAAAAAATGAAAAAAACCTGGCCCAGGGGATCGATGATGATCGACGGCTTCCTGCACTAGTGAAGTTGTTCGCGATCTATCGGCACCACTTGAGCCACCATGTCCGCTCGCAGAAGCAATTCGCGACATCATCGACTGCACCCGCTCTCCAAGCAGCGCAACGAGTGCAAACACACCAAGCTGTTCCCGGGGATCCTAACATATGTCACTATTTTGTAGTGCCTTTTCTTCTCTTCTTCGACGTCAATCCCCCTGTCCCGCCCGGATGCGGCTAGCTAGAGGGTGGTGCAGTCATCGTACCTCTCGCGTCACCACGAGACCGTCTCCCTCGTTCACACGTGCCGTGGTTTGGGCGATGATGACAAGTCCGATGCCTACACTACACGAGAAACAAACGATTCACCAATGATACAGCGACCTTTTTGTCATGAAGGCTCTTCGCAATGTAACATGCCGTAGCACTGTCCCGCAGCCTCGGTCGGATCATCTAGCCGGGGCGGGGGGGGGAGGGAATTCCCCCTGGGCCTGGGCTGGGTCCCATCTCGGTCCGTGCACCGGCTCAACCCGCGATCCATTCTTGCCTTGCAGCTCGAGCTCTGGGAAATTCCAGAACTCCATGCTGCCATAGCTGTGGGAGCGGCCACGTCTCTCCACACATCCCCACGACCAACGTCGAACACCGGCCCAATGGCCCGTCCACCAGCTGCTCCCTGGCACCTGCTTCGACGAGCGCCCGCCTCACGAGCCGGCCGAAAATGGGCCTCCTCAACGCGCAGCCTCCACCATGACGGCGCGTCAGCCTCAACATCAGCATCTTCCTCACCCGCCACCATCACCCACATCCACCTGACCTCCTCCAAAGGCTTCCCCTCCTACGCCGCCGCCTCCGCCCTCCAAGCGACCCTGCGTGACGCTCTGCTCAACCACAAGTCCTCCTCCACCTCCTCCTTCTCCGCCGCCGCGGCCCCCTCGCCCACCGTCATCTCCTTCACGCCGACACCAACCTACACACTCGGCCGCCGTCAGACAACCCTCGACCCCGCCCAACGAACACGCCTCCAACAACCTCTCACCATCTCAACACCCAGCACGCGCGATGGCGCGCCACCATCACCACCATCATCATCATCAACAACGACAACACTCTACACCCCGTCCGTGACCGCCTCCCCGCGCGGCGGCCTCACAACCTACCACGGCCCAGGCCAGCTCGTCCTCTGGCCCGTCCTCGACCTGCACGCCCCGCACCACGCAAACCACACGGTCCGCTCCTACGCCCGCCTCCTTGAGGACACGACGCGCGCCCTCCTCGCCTCCCTGCCGCGCCCCGTCGCCACGACCGCCTCGACCGCCGACCCGGGCGTCTGGATCGCCCCGGACGACGGGCCCCCGCGCAAGATCGCCGCCCTCGGCGTCCACCTGCGCCGCCACGTCACGGCCCTCGGCGTCGCCCTCAACATCGACACGCCCGTCACTGGGCCCGAGGCCCAGAACCCCTGGGCCCGCTTCGTGCCCTGCGGCCTCGAGGGCAAGGCCGTCACGAGCGTGCGCGCCGAGCTCGGCGCCCCGCGGTTTCGACGATGCCCTGTACATGTTTGGCGGCGACGCCGACGTCTACCGGCACGCTCTCGCCGGGTTGTGGGTGCAGGAGCTGGCCGACCGTCTTTGGCGCCGGCCGGCACGTCGCGGACGCTCGATGCGATGCGGAATGAAGCTCCGGGCCTCGAGGCGGCTTTGGACTAACGTTGGGGGGGGGTCCCTAACCCTGTGACGGATGCCCTGCCACAGATTCATGACACGTCGGAGGCAAAACAACCTAGGACAGGTCACGGTGACGGAGAACAGCGCACGCCCGGAACAGCCGGCACAAAAAAGTGTATCAACACGGTATCCTACCGGAGGCCCCGGCCCAAACTCATCCATCAATCATGCTTATGAAGAAAACAGCAAACACCCTCGTTACAAACGTAGACGCGGACCGCGCACCCGCAAAGGAAAACCTTCAGAGAAACACTAAAGCAGTCGACAGCTGGTCGCTGAACTTTTTTCTGCCATGTCA